AATGTTGCACTTAAATCACCAATCTTTTCAAAATTCCAAAATGGTCATATTTCACATCTAAACACTCATTTCAATTCCAAAAGAGTAATTTCCAGCATAGTACATCAACTATTAAACAATTATACAACCATTCACAACTTTTCCAAAATTGCCAGCCCTTATATACTTTTCCATAATTTTCTCACTCAAACAGCCCATGGCCGAATGCTTTAAGTTATAAAACTAAGTTTTTATGATTTTGATGATTTTGATTCGATTCAAGCATTAAATCAACTTCCAATCAACCTTACAACATCTATAAAATAAGAGCCTTAATCAACTCTCATCAGAACACAAAGTTCTATAATTTCTTCATTTGACCGAAAATTATAGAATCATTTCTAGGAAGTTTAAACATGTTTTAATCATAAATCAAACTTGAAAATGAATCTACAACCTCAAAAACATCAATATCCATCATCAATTGCATGAACCCTAGTATGAACATAAACCCTAAGATTTGGGTTCTTTGAAATCAAACAAGTTGAGTAAGAATAATTGGTACCAAAAGATAGCGTTTTTCGACTATACCACTTTCCTATTTCACGGCATAACTTGAAAACCAAAGGAAATGGTTTAAAAATAGAAAACAAAAAATTTTCCTTATCTTAAGCTAGCTCACGGAAATGGAGAATATGATGAAAAAATTGGCATGAAATTTTTATATTAATTTCATGCTTATCTACTTTTAATTTAACTTTAATAAATTTTAAATTCATTTAATTAGGAAAATACGAATTTACCCTTAAGGAAAATTCATAAATACCATTAAACCAAGACACCTAAATCTTATCATCTTCCAAACCAAGACACCTCAACCTTATCATTTTCCATAAGTCAAAGATGAACAAATAAGATCTTAGTTTACCGATTTTCCCTTGCCTTTTTCCAAAAATACAATCTTGTAACTTTAATCCAACGATCCAAATTAAACATGGAATTAAACCCTTAAATCTAAAGATTTATATTAATTTCCAACATTTGAAAATGTGAAAATAATATTTCTAGGTCTAATTTATCATCCTTCAGATTTTTCTCAATTTTCTATTCGATCCGATTTACCGATTTTTTCCTCAACTTCCTTGCTTTATAACTTTTATTACAAAACTCGTATTAAAATTTTGATTTCCACAGAAACGTTATTCTTGAGATAAACTATTTATTTACGGGGCCAATTTGTAACTTTTTAAAATTACCATTTTGGTCTCTAAACTTTTTCAATGTTCATACTTTGGTCACCAAACTTTCAAAAATTTATTTTGGTCGCTATCTAAATTTTGGGGTAATACAAATGTCGCGAAAAATAATAATTTCTCATATGGGAATTTTTTCTTAATCTCCATTTCCTTCCTTAATTTTTTTCAAAATTTCTAGCCTAGACAGATGAGTAGTTACTTGGGATTTAGGATTAGTAAATTCAATTAAATCCAAAGGTTCAAATTTTGTACTTGGTCTAGCTATGAGTAAGCTAGACTGACTTATCTCCTTTGGAATATCCTCAAGCTCCTCTTTGTCTTCTATATCTAGCTTAAAGTGATCATTAGATAATAAAAATTTGTTGCAACAAAATTCTGTAGCTTCCTCTTCCATCGTAGGTTCCACAACTTGAAGTGATTGACACTCCCTAGAATCATTTGCAGTGTTGATCTCCATTCACTCCTATTGGTGGGGGTTTATCTTTTGTTGTGGCAACATTTTTCTTGTCTCCATTGGTTACACTATTTGAACCCTCATCCTTGTTTTCCATTGAATATGAGTCTTCTTGCATCTCCGAATCTTCGTGCACAATCTAATGGTTGGACCCTCTGAGTGTCTCTCCCCCAAACTTAGCGTTTTTATAGATTTTGGTGTTGCTCCTTAAGGTGAATGCACCATAATGCTCCATGTCTTGAGCCTTAGTGACTTCAGTATCACTGAGTAGGTTTCCCTATGGGCGTGCATGTACTGCTACAACAATTTTTTTTACTTGGATTTCCAAGGCTTGCAAAGATGAACTATGACTTTGCAAACATGGCCATTGGCTCTGTAATAATGCTCTTTGGCTCTCAATAGATGTGGCGTGATCTTGCAATAGAGTCTTGGTAGTTGCCATGAAGTCATGGAGAGTAACTTCCAAAGAATTGGTGTTCACTGAGGATGCTGACCCCTGGTTATTATTTTTCCATGGCAATTGTTTTTAGAAAACTTAAGGGTTCAGTCATGCAATGCTGCTAATTCGAGTTGCTGGCATTGTTGGATCCTTTATTCCCCCAAGAAAAATTAGTATGATAAAGCCATCCAGGATTATAAGTGTTCGAGTTGGGGTTGTTATTGCTCCCATTGAAGTTCCCCACATAGTTGGTAGACTCGTGGTTTTCTGGGCATTCCCTCACATTATGATTTCCATGGCATAAAATACATGTAGAACTTGCCACCTTGACTTCCTTCACTTCACTAGCATATTAAAGATTCTTCAACATATTAGTAATGACTGACAATTGAGCTGAAATAGAGTCCTCGGCATCAAGTTCAAGTGATCCATGATTCTTCCTCCCTATTCCTAGTCTCGGAGAACAGAATTGATAGTCACTGTTTGCTATCGTATCAAGGATATCAAATGCTTCTTCAGGTGACTTGTCCAGTAAATTAATATTTGTCGCAACATCTAGCATCAGTCTTGTTGGAGCATTTATACCATGGTAGAACATAACAACTTACATCTAATCGTGGAATCCATGGTTGGTGCACTTGTGTAGGAGTCCCTTGTATCTATCCCAACACTCAAACATAGACTCGTCATCAGCTTGACAAAGAAGATGCTATGGCATTCCTAAGATGGTTGTTAATATTGGGTGGATTATACCGTAGCAAAAAAATTTTACACAAGTTTGTCCATGATTTTATCAAGCCGAAAGGTACTCCATTAAGCCATTCCCTAGCACAATCTTTTAATGAGTATGGAAACAACTTCAATTTCAGCATATCTTCATGAATGCCTTGTTGCCGAAATAAATCACACACCTCCAAAAATGCTCGAACATGTTGCCTTGCATCCTCATGAGGTGCACCACCAAACTGCCCAATCAAGTCCAACATGTCAAACATAACCTCATTATTATGAATTACTGCTACATTTAGAACTTTAGGATCCTCCATTTCATTTTGAACTTCATATATAATTCTTTGTACTCTTTGAACTCGTATTCTTTGACAGAAAAGTTGCACGATTTCAGGTTTAAAATGAGACAATGGTTCATTGGGTCTTCTACAGGTTATGAAACAACTCAACACTTGAAAAGGGTAAACAAAAATGGCCAATAAATCCATACTAAAAAAGAAATAATTAAAATAATGCTATAACAAAACTTTTAAAAACACCAATTGCCAATGCCTGACAACGGAGTCAAAAACTTGATTGCTTGTAAATAGATAGTGTTGTGGCACACAATTATGTGCAAGTATACACAGTCAACCAAGTAATATAGTAGTGAGTGAGTATCATTTCCACATGGATTGGAGGGTTTTAAAAAATATGTTATAGCAAAGGGATGTCACTAGGTAAAAATATAAAAGGGTATGCACACTGAAGAAATTTATGTTGTGGCAAGAAATTCTGTAAACACTAATAACCTCACACAACCAAGCTTCTATGGAGTAAATGGTTGGACTTGCTGTGGCGAGAAATTATGATATGCCTGGATGACCGAGTACTCTATGCCTAAGATGCCCGACAGGATTTACTAAAGTGTTCTCAGGATATCTCTAGTAAGAAATTTGATAAAATTTTGTCACGGCTATACCCCTCGGCGTAAACTATGAACCTAGCCTATCGGTTGAGTGTTATCCCTTTTAGTCGATTGAAACCCTCTCCTTATCTCTAAGTTGGATTAGAACCTCGCCATCCCGAATTAGTTCCTTTGTTCACGTAGATCTAACCTAACTCTCTCGATATTAGATTTCAACACTTAGAAAATGGCTATCTCTCGAAAGATCTTACAACGACTAAGCATGTTAGGCTATGGCAAATGGCAATCTCTCAAAAGCTCTTACATTTCCACAACATAAAGTTAAAACAATGAACAAAACAACATTAAACATAAACATACTAAAAAATCATCCATTAACATGAAATAAAATATCAATCATAACAAATCCAACATCAAATATATTAGTTCATGGTGTGGCTAAGTTGAAACAAGATAATCCTTAAAAACAAACCCAACAAAGATAAGAAAACGGTAAGCAAAGGAGAATGAAACTCCCAAAACGGGGTTGTTGTCATGACGCCTAGACCACCACCATGATTGCTCCAGCGGGCTAGCCTCTCTCGAGGGCCTAGCCGCTACCCCAATATAGCTCGACTATAGAGGTTACCACCACAAATAAAGAAGAAAGAAGATAAAGAAAATTATGATGCTTCCTCAAAAAGCTCAAAATATGGAAATTGTAGGGATCCCTAAAAATATGGGCATTATTTTCTATTTATAGTGGAGAATTTCTAGGGTTTTTTCCCCTTGAAATTCCTTTATTTACTCTTGTAATCAAGCCCAAAATGTGATTTTAAGGCAGCTGGTGGTGGTCCCAAAATATCAGCAGGGCATGGAATTCACGTGAGGTTCCTTGGACAGCTGGCTGCGCGGCGTCAACTACTTTGTCTTGTACTGCGTCCAGAGTTCCAAGAAAAACATGTCGTGGCAAAAAATTTCTCATGGTCATCATCATCAATTCCTTTGGCCCTCGCTCTAAAATTATCATGGAAAATAATTCTCTCATCAGTCATTTTTTATCTCATGCAAGATCACAGCTAACATACAACCCTTATCATCAGCAGTATCAGTTTTATAAATAAAAACTAGCTGAGGAAAATCTTTTCTACCACATGCAATAAATGTCCTAAATGCAATTATATGCAACTAAAATGTTATGACAATGGCTTTTAGATAATCAATAACTTAACTATAAAGACCCAAAATATAATCTTTTTATGGAGTTATCAAAAGCCGTTGAGTTTCATTAGGCGGGTCATTTAGCTTAGAGAGCACCTTAGATGTTGTTCGGCCTAGATGGGCGAGTGCATCAGCCACGTGATTTACCTCATGGTTAATGTGAATGGTCCGAATGCACCATTGAGGTTGGAGAATACCCCAAATTCTGCGTATAATGGCAGGTTCAAAGGATATCGCTGGAGAGGAGAAAATATTGACTGCTTCTTGACTATCTAGATCGACATCAATTCGTCTATAACCTCCATTCCAAGCGATTTTCAAATATTCAAGGAGGGCCCAGAGTTCTGCATGAAGGATAGAGGCATCGACCAATGCTGCGGGAATAGCATGATAACCAAGTGCCTTCGAAATCCTGGAATATATCGCCATTCGTCGCTTCCATCGTAGACTGGTTGACGGCTCCATCCGTGTTGAGCTTGACCACCCTTGAATTGGGAGATCTCCAAATTTGATCCCTGGATGTGCACTTTGTTTTGGTGGCAAAGGAAGAGGTTTTAGCCCGGATGGATTGGGCCCAAGAACGTGCAGACTGGATAATGGATGGGATAGGCCAGACCTCGCCCTTGAAGACAAAACTGCATCGTTGCTTCTAGAGTCTCCATATCAGAATTCCAAATAGATGTCTCCAGTAGTAGGCAGACTTCACCATTCCTATAGAATTATTTAGATTAGATTTTAGTCAATCAAAAAGATGAAGAGAGAAGAAACTCTGTTAATTGTCGAGGAGTGATCTGAGTCCAGACTATACGGGCGGTCGTGCAGTCACGAAGAATATGAATGATGGATTCTTTACTAGGTCCACATATCAGACACCCGAGATTCACCGTTAGACCTCGTCTAGCTCTTTTCATGTTGGTCTGAGTTTTTTTCTTTATTTCTTTTTAAATGGTGGAAAAGAAAAGGCTCGATTAATTATGATGGTGGTGGTGGAGACATTGTTTGGTAAGGTGGCATACAAATTGTTTGAAGTGATATATATATATATATATATATATATATATATATATATATATATATATATATATCAATGGAACAATTAAGAAGATGAAATCATATTTGCTTAATGACATCATTGATAATTATCAAAGTAAATGTGACATGAATTAAGTTGTAAGTAAGATCATTTATTTTTAATTTTAATTAAGTGTGGATGATATGGCCATATCTTCATGACATTCAATGAATTAGACATAAATATTAGACTGGAAGACACGACAGACATTGATAACTGAAGCAGATATTTTGCGAAGTTAGGTTACTGGGGGAAATGTATTTCTTCATCGGATGCTTTTCTAAGACTTAATTAATAATATTGTTCGACCGACGAGGTCTAGTAAGAAAAGTCTGTTCCAATGTAAGATTCTCTGATGCACCTCATAATATATATTTTTTCCTAAAATTGAAGGAAATAGATAATGTGAATTAAATAAGTTCCGATAGAATTTATAAAATTAGGGTCTTAAGAATGTTTTAGGTTTAAATTCCAAGTTCAATTTTTTATTGTTTGATTTTGATATAAATGAATTGTAACAATCGATCTATTTAAAACTTATATCTTGAAGGGAAAAATTGATTAGATAGTCTATACTTATTATTAAATGTTTGATAAAATTAATATTATAGGGTTTCTATTTATCAAATTGTTATATATTAATCATATATCAATTTTATTAAAAATAATTAAAATATTTAAAAAAATCACATGGACTTATTTAAATAGAAGGAGGCTTTTTAACATTTTAATCTAATTATAAGTTTTTAAAATTAAATAAGTTAATGTATGAGACTATGCAGGAATCGAGTCATGTATATGTTGGGAGGAACCTAGCCCCAAACTTTTAGGGTCTATTTATTTTTAAGGTTTCTAACGATTTTAGAATTTATTTACTTTCAAGGACCATATAGTTTTTAAATTACGTAAATTAGGTTTTGATCCTTAATTTTTAGGTACATTTATATGTGAAATAAGGCAAATTAAGTCTTGACCTTTGTTTTAGTTTAAATATTTTTTAGGTATTGCCATTTTTTAAACTAGACAAATAAAGCCGTGTGCTTCATTTTTTTAATGCAAAAGCTTCTTTGGTCTCATTTAGTTTTAAAATTAGATAAATTTGATCTTAGCTTTTGATTTTAAATTTTAGATTGAGTATTTAATAATTTAATTGTAACTTATATTTTATTATAATTTATATTTACCCTCTAATGTTTCATCCGAAGAAATAAAATTTTTTAATATAAATTGAAGGGAAAATATATACAAATGTGACACCCATCTTTGTTTTTCAAGTCTATAAATTTATTATATGCCTGTTTATAGTGAATTTAAAATTATTAAAAATGAAGTTGTGAATTTAAAAAATTTATGTTAGAAGAAGAGGAGGGAAAATCTCAGGTACAACAATTTTAATATACGACTAAATAAATACGTTACCGAAAATATTATTATTTTTTTACATTTTCGGTAAAGCGCTACTTAAAACATTATTTTTTACTGAAAATATTATTATTGGGCGTTACCTAAAATGTTTAACATTTTCGATAAAGCGCTACTTAAAACATTATTTTTTTTTTATCGAAAATATTAATGTTGAGTTCTACCAGAAATTAATTAACGAAAATTTTTGATAAAAAAATAATATTTTAAGTGATAATTTACCAAAAATATTAAAAAATAATAATATTTTCGATAACAAATTTATTTAATTATATATTAAAACTACCATTCATCATAACTATCCTGAAGAAGAGGTTGCAAAGTATCCTTGCTTTTTTTTTTTTTGGCGAAGTGACAGCAAACCCACTTACCAATTATCTTCACCATAAAGCCAATGGCTGCCTTTAAAGTTTACTTTTTTTTCCATCTTAAAAACTCATAAATGATATTGTTACGACTGTACCACTTCCTTTACAAAAGTTTAAGTGTAATTCGTGGATTCATTGAGAGATATAAATGGTAAAAGGGAGTATTATTTTTTCTAAAAAAAATTTTAGATTTGAATAGTTATATTTATAGACTATAATATATGTGTATTATTAATAGATTAAAAAATATTTTGAACTATTAAAAAAGTGTAACCCATCCAATAATCCATCGAAATCTTAACATACGTTTATTTTATTAAAAATAAATTTACGTAAATATAAAATATTATTATTTATGTTGACGGTAAAATCATTTAAGTCAATTAAATTCAGTTATCCCAACCAGACATCGAAGAAAAATGAAAAATGAATTCTAAAAATATAATTACATGAAACAAACACACTCATAATAATTAATAGGGTAAATATACGTTTAATATCTAAACCATCAATTTTAGTCATTTTACTACTTAAATTTTTAATTTTTTTAAATCATACTTAAAGTTTAGTTTTTGCTTCACTTTAGTATCCGTTCAAAATTTAACGTTAAGCTTTGAAAAATTGAAACTTTAGGTTCTAAGACGGACCAAAACTGATAGTTTAGGTACTAAATGCATTAAGTTTTTAATGGTGGGTAATAAAATGAAACAAAAACTAAGCATTAGGAATGATTTTGAAAAAATTGAAAGTTTAAATACTAAAACGGATCAAAACTGATAGTTTAGATACTAAATGTGTAGTTTACCCTGATTAATTAATATTTTGTTATCGAATATTTTGTGCAGTTTTAATCTTAAAATTTTGATATTTCATTTTTTCTTAAAGTATTAGAAACATCTCAAGTTAATTGCATTCATAATGAAACTTGAACTCAATCTTGTAACTTATAAAATATATCGAGTGGTATAGTTTATGCCTAAAAAAACAAAATTTCATTTGCACTAAGGATTTATATAATTAAAAATAAAATGATAAATGTTTATTTATATAAAACAAAGGTGATAAAGTTCAGAATATGAGTTGAATAGTAGACTGGCTACCTGGAAGACTGCTTTGGAAGAAAAAGGTTTAAGGATCAATATTGATAAGACAGAATATTTATGTTCAAACTTCAGTAGGGACCAAAACGAAGACGATGTAGAAGTTTGCATAAAGGACACGTTCTCCCCTCAAAGGATTGTTTCAAGTACCTAGGGTCTATGATACATAAAGATGGGGGTGTAGATGATGACGTTACACACCGTATAAAGGCGGGATGGCTAAAGTGGAGGGCCGCTACTGGAGTTTTGTGTGACAAGAAGGTGCCTCTAAAACTTAAGGGAAAATTTTATAGAATGGCAATAAGACTAGCACTATTGTATGGATCAGAATGTTGGGCAACCAAGAAGGATCATGTAAGGAGGATAGAGGCCGCAGAAATGAGAATGCTTCGGTGGACATGCGGTAGGACTCTGTGGGATATGACAACAAACTCTGCTATTAGGATGTCCTTGGGGGTGGTGCCTGTTTCCGAGAAATTGAGGGAAGGAAGACTACGGTGGTTTGGGCATGTCCTTAGGCGACTACCATCTGATGTGGTCAGGAGGGTAGAGTCGATTACAGTCGACGGTGCCAGAAGGAGAGGACGACCAAGGCGGAAGTGGGAAGACTGCTTGAGATCTGATTTGATGGATTTAGCCCTTACCGAGGACATGACCTCTGATAGGAAAGTATGGAGACTTAAGACTAGGATAGTCGAGTAGTGTGGGTCACATCTCTAGGGTGTATCATCTCTCTCTTCTTTTACTGCCTTTGTAGTAATTTACATAACTTCTACTTTTTATCCGTTTCTGTTATTGGTATTTTTGAAGGCTTAGAACTGGCATTGCGATCGTTTGAATTCTGTGTATCATTCTCTCCACTTTTGAACTTTTGAATTTAGTCGGGTCTTACGTTTCTGTCCATATACAAAGATTACTGCCCATTACAGACACGCATATGACATTAATGATATTAATGACTGCAGATGAATATTGTACAACTACGTATTTATGTATTTATTTATACATGCATTGCATCTTATCTATATTTTTAATTTTCTGACTGCCGGAGGTCTTCCACGGAAGCTACTCTCAACCTGGCGTTGGGGGCAGCCTACTACCCTACCTCCCCCTTACCCCATTGCATATGGGAATTGGGTTTTGTTGTTGTTGTTGTTGTAAAGGTGATAAAGTTAAGAGCTTCTTTAAATTTTAGTTAAAAACTAGTAATTTAATTTTAAATACAAACTTATTTTCTCCTTTATTTTTCATCCTAAGAAACGGTTTAACTGGGAATGAAGCTTAAGGTGGTAAGGAGTTCAGCAATGATTACCTATTTGATCACTTACTCGTTAATTAATTTTTGTTTTGGTCACTAAATTATTATTATTTTTCAAAACCATACTTACACTAAGCTTTGATTCAATTTTAATCACTCTTCGTTAAAGAAATAACATTGATACTGACGTGACATTTCATACAACTATTTTTCAATGATGATGTGATATAATCTTATGTTGTTAC